GCTAGTACCTCTTGCCACGAGTTCCCAGAATTCTTTGCGGTTTTACCCTTGAATGACGTCACATTTTCAATCTCTATAAACCATTTCTGGAACAGCATCCTTCAAATGGATGATACCAGTGTGGAGAGGTTTGTCCTCAACTGCAGAGATCCTGAAAAAGAAAAAGTACAGACTGCTCAGCCTGCTGACACCTTCAGAGAGCTGTGCTTAGATCCACCGTTCAAATCTCAATGAACTGAAGCTGGAAAGAAGAGCAAAATTCCTCCACAATGGCATAAAAGACTGAGAAGGTCCGATTCTTCAGTGGCAGCTTGATTCCTTCATACAAACACAACGTGAAGGAGAACGGCGGCCTTCTTTCATCAGCTGTGAGGACGTGGAGGATGATTGGGCCACAGACAGACTCCCTCTCCATCTGTCTCACTCACACACGTCGGGTATTCATTTCTTGTGGGGACATCTAATTGAAATAATGCTTCCCCTCGCCCTTTACCCTAACCTTCAAAAGTGAATGCCGAACCCTGAGCCTAAACCTAACCATAACCCAGTTGTAACCATGACACTAAAACCAAATCCTGAGTCTGGAAAATACCTTCAGACTCGTGAGGACTTCCAATTTTTGGTCCCTACAAAGATATGAATACACACACACACTCCTCGTGCATATGGTACGACAACTTTTCTCCGTGCCCCTGGTACACTGTGCAGAAACACTTTGCCACACACACACTCCTGGTGCCTATGGTACAACAACTTTTCTCCGTGCCCCTGGTACACTGCTCAGCAGCACTTTGCTAAATACTCCCCGTGCATATGGTATGACAGCTTTTCCACATGCCCCTGGTACACGGACCAGAAACACTTTGCCACACACACACACACAGACCAGCTGGGGCTAGCAAGTGTTACCTTAAGCGTCATTAAAGTAATGGAGTCTCTCATTTGATGAGGCATGAACGATCACCAGTGTCAACTTTAGTCGGGCTGGAGTGATGGAGGAGGCGTTTATCTCATCAGTCATCAAATTAGTGATTTTATCTGCAGCAGGAGAGTAAACGTGTGTGTGTGTGTGTGTGTTTTAGGATGTGTCGTGTCTGAACCGCGACAGCAGTAAGGTCATCGTGGTCGACTGTAAGCGGGAGGCGTTCAGCCTGCAGCCTTTCAACGGCCTGGCTCTGAAGAAATGGGACGGAAACTCTGAGGACCGAACGCTCTACGACCTCGCCAACTTCCTCAAGAGTAAGACACACGGCGAGGCGTTCGGGGACCGTCCTGTCACCCAGCCGTTCCTTCATTTGTTTTTGTAGTTGACTTCTGCTTCTTGTATTCGCCAGTGCATCCCTCTACTGTCACTAAGCTCATATTCGATTGGTTGGTTTCCTGTCTGTTGTTGTTTCACCTCCTCCGTCTCCTCCTCTCCATCAGCCATCGCTATGAGCGGCGTGGACGACGTGCGTTCGGTGTTGGAGAACTACGCGCTGGAGGAAGACCCCATCGAGGCCTTCAAGCGGCGTCAGGCTCAGCTGGCGCAGGTAGGAGGAGAAATCAAACGCACCTGTCTCAGGTTTCACCTGGAACAGCTCTGACTCTGTTTTCTCCGTCAGGAGGAGGAGCAGCGTCTGTCCGAGCTCTCCCAGCAGAAGAAGCAGGGACTCTCCATCGGCTCCATCGCCTCGCGGTTTTGGCGCTCCAAGCAGCAATGAGCCCCACCCCCTCCCCTGCTCGCTTTCCACCTATCACTCCAAGGTGAGGTGAGAGAGAGGAGGGGAGAGACCCGTGTGCTGCAGGCGAATGGTCTCCGCCGTCACGGACGTCTCAGTGGGCGGGGCTGAGGACTTTAACTGGCCCTGCACTTCCTGGTTTTTGTGGAGGTGGGGCCTCATCTTTGTGACACCTGATGCATTTTTAAGCTTCTGATGGAGAGGATCCAGGTCGTAAACTCTGGTCGCTGGTGGTCGGAGGCTGATCGGGAATCAGCGCTGCCATCGCCACTCCAGCTCCGGTCGCCTCGCCGCTCGCTGGATCTGACCTGAGATCATCTGCCACGCGTTGAGAATGTGTATTTTATTTTCTATTCCTGTGTGTGTGTCTCAGACTGTGCTGATGGAGGCGAACGTCACATCATGAATATTGTTTATAATGATACAAATAAACAATAAGTAGCATTTGTGAGAGTTTGGTGAATATGTCAGAGCGCCGAGCGGCGTCGGCCGCCGTGGCGTAGACGAATATGCGTCCAGGACGTAACAGCGAGAGGGATGAGGTCTTTCACTTCCACAGAGGTTGAAGTCTGATGTTCTGTGTGAGCACATCCTGGTGTAGGAGACGTGACTCTGAGTGGAGGAAGTCTTGGCGACAGCGTTTGGCTCGGCGTGGCTCACCTGTCGCACCTGGTCTGGTCCTATGAGGGCTTCATTAGATCAAACTAGGTCATGTTAGCTTGCATAGCTCGGCAATATTAGGCCACCAGCAGACGTGTTCAGGAGCACCTCGAGGAACACGTGTTGACCCGACCTCTGATCCACAGAGATCACCTCCACGTGACGAAGCTACCAAAGATGCCGAGCCACGCCCGGTTCTTATGCTGTACACAGTTGTGCAGAAGTCTTAATCAACCCCTCATTTCTCTCTATTTTGCTTCCAAGCAGTCAAACTTGTCATTTTTCAAAAATTATCCTCCTCCAGCTTTCTGAAGATCCTGCAGTGTTCCCTCGTTTCCAGTCCAGTCCTCGTACCTGACCATTTAACTCTGACCTCATCAC